GAGAGATCACAGCACCTGACGACGCAGCTCTGGTGTCACGCTGGTTTAAGCTGGGCTGCAGGGTGCAGGGCGGGGCGAAGGGGGTCTGCTTGCTGCCGTTCAAGGAGGAGGAGGAGGAGGAGGAGGAGGAGGAATTGAGCTAGAAATGTTCAGCTCTGTTAGACCGAAATAAATTTTTAATTTGGATTTTTTTAAAAGATAAACTGACGTAGATCAAAATGTTGAGAATATTCTGCAATAAGCGACCTCCCCCCCCCCTTCCCCCACAACCTCCTCCTTGGACCGTAAAAGAAAAGGAAAGGATCACCAGTTCACCGGTTAAATAATTCTCATGACGACGGTACTTTTGAATATGAAAATAAAGACTAAGAAGAAGAAAAGAGAAAAGAATATGACAAAAAAGAGAAAAAAGAGGAATGACTGATCACCCACTTTTTTTCTCTCTCTCTTTTAGTTTTGGAACATCCTGAACTTTTTGGGGGCCTTAGACGATTTGACGGTAAATATAAACCATGGATTATCTCTCTTTGCTGCGTGACTATCGCCCCCCCCCCTCCTTTTCATTTTTATTTTTTTTAGTTCTTTGGCTGGTTGACTTGACTTCTTGAAAGGATTTTATTTTATTTTATTTATTTGTTTATTTGGGTCAGCGAAACATGTCGCTGATTTGCACGGTCGTTCGCACAGCGGTTTTGGGAATGCAACATTTTTTTATTTTATTTTTCTTTCTTCATCGGTGTCTCTTCTATTCGCTATTGACGTCATTAGAGGTTTTGAATATATATATTTGTATATATATTTACATATATGTGTGTGTATATATATATATATATAAATATATTTTTCTTTTTGGGAATAATTAATCTTTTCCGCAATGACACACAAGCATCTTTGCGTTGTTTAGAATATTAACCGAAGACTTAATAATACCTTTGGATATTTTATCACTATTTTTTCTCTTTTTTAATTATCATGTAGACTTCCCTAATTTGGCATGTGATTCATGTTGTGTTGCCGGAGCCGCTGTGTGAATGACGTCACAACATGCCTTGACCAATCCCGCCCAATTTTACACTCCAGCGTGACGGAGCCGCTTGCTGTTTTATGATTTATTTGTTGTTGATATTTTTATTTTTTATCATTATTACTCCATTACGAGAAACCATTACTAAATGATGAGGAAAGGATTGTCTGTGGGGTAACCCTTAGTTGATTTCAGAGGAGGAAAATATCCCTCGTTTTTTCTCTCATGGTATTCGTAATTTTTTTTTCTTTAAGGAATGCTTTCGGTTTTTTTTTTCGAGGTACGACACCAAAAGGCAACGGACAGTCTTTTCCTTCCATTTCTAACACGTGTGGTGGCTTGCTGGGACTAACTCCTGATACGACCAAGACGACTTTTAGCACGAGCTGGCTTATTCTCATTATCTCTCTTTCTCTTTTTTTTCTGTCTCGTCCCCCCTCCCCTATTCTCTGCCTGGCTCCTTCTGTCTCGCCTCGTCCCTCTTTCTCTTTCTCTTTCTTTTCCTCTTGCTACCTATCTCTCTCTCTCTCTCTCTCTCTCTCTCTCTCTCTCTCTCTCTCTCTCTCTCTCTCTCTCTCTCTCTCTCTCTCTCTCTCTCTCTCTCTCTCTCTCTCTCTAACGGAAAGGGGTAAGAGAGTGAGAGGAGGAGGAGGCATGGGAAGGGGAAAGAAGGGGAGAACATCAACCACACACAGATTTACATGTTCTTATCCGGAAAGACTCAACGGTATGAGTGTGTTATGTATATGTGCGTTTGTGCACAGTGTAGATATATAAACACACACACGTACACATACACACACATGCACCATGCGTACGCACACAAACACACACTCACACACACACACACACACATACATACATACATACATACATAACACACATATACATAACACACATTCTCTCTCTCTCTCAGTGAAGACCTCATGAAAAGGTTTATTTAACATGAGTGTTTATGTCTCATTGATATGAGTCTCTTTATAGTGTCTTGGTATGTGTATATATAAAGTTTTTTTAATCATTGGAGAAAAATTTGTAAGGTATATGGCCAAGGGAGAAATAAGGTGGAAATGGAGGAGGAGGAGGAGGAGATAGAAGAAGAGAAGCGTTCTCCCCTGCTTAGTAGGTGCCGTGTGTGCTTCTGCTTTCTGCTTTATTTCCGGTAATGCCCTCTACCCCCTTTTGTCATTTGCTGCCATTCATTCCCCTGCTGGTGGCCCCTTAACCGCTTCTTGGTGTTTTTTTCTTATTTCAACATTTTCCATTTCTTTTTGTTATTCTTCTTGTTTTTCATCCATCTTCGTCATGGTCTTTGTCTGCTTCTTTTTCTTCTCCGAGTCTTCTGATGTACTTCTGATGTACTTTCCCGCGGGTAGTGACAGGCCACGTCTCCTACGGTCTTCATGGACGTCAGTTACCGCGCACTGTTTTTGACTCGGTAAAGAAATAAAAACGTCTCCCGTAGAACAAGTGCCTCCCGTTTTCTATGTTCGTGACGTCATTGATGGATCCCTTGAAGGCTGTGGGAGACGTGTCCTATCTGCCCCTCGCGGTCCGCTGTTTCTCAAGACGCGGTCTAGCCTGGAGTCCTTATTCGGGGGAGGGAGAGGAAGGATGGGAAGGATAGGAAAGATAGGAGAGCAGGAGAGTAGGAGGGAAGGAAATGGGAGCAGGAAGCATTTTCCTGGTCTCTTCTGTGCGTCTTTGTGCAGGTCGTGCATTTGTGTAGTGTATATGTGCGTATATCTGTGTGTGTATGTATTTATATGTTTGGTATTCCGATCATTCATTATCAGGAAAACTATCCATTTTTATGATTGTTATATTTGTCTCCGTCTCAGTGCGTTTAGGTATCAATTGACTCTTTATCCTGTAGACTGGGCAGGTCAACATAGACGCCTAGGGATATATGATAAGTATGCTGCACCGTGCCATGACGGTATATAGTAGTAATTGTGTTGTAATGGAGAAATACCACAAGAGGTATCAATGTAGCGGGTATAGCCGCTGACACTGTTTCTGTTGGTAGAATGGTTTAATGGCATATATACTGAATGCCTCTTTGTGAAATCTTCGACTCAGCCACATGGGCCGGGAGTACCCAACTGGAAGGCACCGCAGTCCGCCAGGCCCTCTGCGGATCCTGGTTGCCGTACCTTAAACTATGTCAGACGCATTCCATGTGATATGCTGTGACAAGGAAGTTTATATTTAGTCATGTCCGTTTGAGCTTTCTCTTGTCCCTTCTTTTGTCCAGAGTTCCGCTTGACAGTACTGGTATACTAAATTTGGCTTGGGACGGTTGTCGTCCTTAGTAGGAGCGCTTTAGCGGAAGGTCGTTCGGGCTAGAAACTTGGCTAGGCTGACGGACTAGGTAGGGGCCAGGAAATGCCATTCGTTGCTGTTGCGGTCACTGAGGACAGGACTCCGGCTGGCCCGCTCGCCGAATCTTTCTCTTGGACTCCAGGCATGACCTCCCCTTCCCTCCTCCCCCTCCCCTCAAGGTGGACCTCGTGCAGGTGTCTCCCAGGCGCCCCTTTCTCTCTCCAAAGGGCGCACGGGGGAGTGGGCGGGGTCATCCACTTTCCTTCTGTGTGTGGGGTTATAAATATACACTTTTCACATTACCTGATGACACCCGTGTTATTTTCTTTTTTTCTTCTTCTTCCTGTTTGCCCTTGGATACTTGTCTTAAAGACAAGGCTGTTTTAGAGTAGTGAGAGAAGAGAGGCGATTGTGAACAGGAGTATTGTAATGTGTGTGTCTCATGTACATAGGAGTCAAGATGCTTATTAGTACTGTAATTATGTGTAGTTAATCTTTTTCATCATTGTTTATAGTAAAGCCCGACTGTGATCGATTACTTGTGTAGCGTAGAGGCATGTGAAGTGCGGTAGAGAGGTGCGTGGTTAAAACAGTGTGGTAGAGAAGTACAAACATGTATGACAGATTTCTGATGCGTAGTTGAGTGGTGCTAGAAGGTAATGGGCTTTGTCGAAGTTTTGGTTGAATGATGATGTAGGTCAGCATATAGAGTGTATCTGGTATTTGCTAGATATATTGCATTGCTATGTGTCGTGTCAAAGGACAGCATGTGCAAGGCATAGAAAAGAATGCGATTAGATAGAATAACTAGTGACAAGCACATATAGTAGCTAGAGAGAGAGAGAGAGAGAGAGAGAGAGAGAGAGAGAGAGAGAGAAGAGAGAGAGAGAGAGAGAGAGAGAGAGAGAGAGAGAGAGAGAGAGAGAGAAAGAGAGAGAGAACAGGGAAGGAGAAAGGAAAGAGAGAACAGGGAAGGAGAAAGAGAAAGAGATTACAACCTCGGACGGCTTTGCACGAGAGTACCCAATCAGCCACTGGTGTTGGTTGCATCATTCGTGCCTGTGCTTGGAATGAGGAAGGAATGGGTGTGCGCGATTTGGTAGTTTCGTTATGATAAATGATAGTCGTTATGGGTGAAGAAGGAATGGAATGGGCTGCTGGGGAAGGAGAGAGAGAGAGAGAGAGAGAGAGAGAGAGAGAGAGAGAGAGAGAGAGAGAGAGAGAGAGAGAGAGAGAGAGAGAGAGAGAGGAAATGTAAGAGAAAACCAAAACGACATACAGAATTTTGGTATACTAGCACGTGTGTGTGTATACATGCCAGATTGCTCGAGAGTGTTTACATGTGGAGAGATGAACATGCGCGTCCCTGAGCATCCAGACCAAAAATCTAACCTTGTGTATACATCTTGTCTCCCCGCTGCAGGACGGCATCGCTTCCCCGCCCTCGCCCGCGTCCCCAGCCACCGCCCGCCAGATCGAGGCACCGCCGCCCGCAACACAGGAGACAAAGTCGCTGGTAAGTCGAGAACTTTTTGTTGTTGCTGTTATTGTTCCTCTTCGGGCGTGTTCCGGCTTCGTTCCATTTATCGGTAACGATTTCAGTTCATGTGGAACGAAGCTCCAGCTATTGCTATAGTGGTGTCGCTATAGTAGGCCTGCGTCTCCATTCTCCTGATTATTGTTTATATTGTGGACGTCAGTAGCCCGTTTATCGCTGTTTTTTATGATTTGTGCCATCATTGAGACGAGAATCCGTTTTATGTGTAACGTGTTGAGAGCCGTTATACTTGGAATGAAGTTGGTTATTGCAAGGGGGAACTGAGCACGAGCAGAGACTAGATGAAAGTAGTGGGGGGATGTTAGGAGGAGGTAGTTGAGAACGAGGATAGAGAACAGGGGAAAGAAAAGGGAGGGGTGTAAGATGAGGAATTAAAGCGGGGATGTGTGTAAGTTAGGGACAGAGATAACACAGGAGAGAGTTCCTATAGGATATGTCCTAGGATTTGGGTGAAGTCTCCGGCCTGTTTGATTATCTAGGTCGCTTTGTTGCGCCCGCTCGGTTGATCTCGTGTGATTGATAATTGATCGCACTGATTGCTCATCAGCGCCATCAGGCTCCATTCTAGGGCCTCGCTCCTCGTAACGGTGGCTTTGGTTTTGGTTTTATGGCTGTCCTCTCTTTTGTTCTTTTTTTCTTGTGTTTTTTGTCCGTTTATCGTGTGTCGCGCCATGAACGTGGACTGAAGTTCTTAGTTCGCTGTCGCGTGCTGCCTGCGTGACTCTCGCGGCGCTGTAATTGCCTCGAGTCTGCCGCGGTGTGCAGGCTGATCAGCCCAGAAGGTCGTCGGGCCCGGGATGCCACAGCAATAAAGCATCGCGGGCTGCCGTGCGTGCAATGGGGCTCAGCAGTCGTCGCGTAAGCCCCACGCACTCCCCATCTCGCGGCGTCGAAGGTCCGCGTCCCCAAGGCCTTCTTCGGAATGCCGTTCCTGCGCGACGACGCCCTTAGCGAGCTCCTCCTCGCTGTATGAGTGCCTCACCGGAGGAGGACCTTGCGGACCGGGGCGGGAGGCCTGGCATGTCGACTTCGAAGAGGCACTATCTGCTGTGGTTACTGAGTGCCTGGAAACGGGACAGTGCTGTTATCTCGACCTCGTTACGGCAGTTTGTAAGATACTTAATGGGTGCCTCCAGACGGGTGAGTGGGCTTGTACTTCTCAGTGCGGTTCCAACGCAGGTGCTTGCTTGGTAGGAGCGTCGCTTTCCTTGCCTTTGTAGACTGCGGGGCAGAGAATGCTTGCTCCCGCGCTTGCCTCACTGGGATATGCGAAGCGATTATCTCGGTTTGTCATTGCGAGTCCCTGAATGCCGTCGCTCCTAGTACTGGTAGCTGGGTCATAGACAGCTCATCTGGCAAAGTACGAGATGCGCTCATAACCCTTTTAGAATTGTTTTACGGCTTATAAAGTAACGTCGCTTCATCGCCATGACATCATTTGAGATGCAAAAGTATCACTGCTGTGGGTGATTCATTTCGTTTTAGGGCGTCGGGTGCAAGTTAGTAGTCTGGGTGTTCCCGTTCTCGATTTATGGCACGTTAATTAGCGCACCTCGCACCACACCTGTGCCTTCCATCTCGACTCTTTGTTTAACCACTCTTGTGCTTATTTGCAGTATGTTTAGGGAGAGAAACACTTCGGATAGGTGTAGTGGACAAGAGTTCGCGCCTTAGGCAGGGACCCGCTAAAGGAATGGAAGTAAATATAGATAGTTGTAGACGGGCGCGTTCCTGTGACGCGGCACTTTTGCCTCCGTGCCATGTGGCATTCGAGACCTGACAGTCGAGTGAAAGTGCCAGTACCCGAGGTTGTGATAGAGCTCGGCGTAATCTGGGGATCAAGGGCACGCTGGAATAGTCGGTAGTCACTTGCGTCAAATATGTCTCCCTCAGGACACTGCGAAATGCGATCTCTTCCGAAATTTAAGTTTACCCACCGCCGCTGCCATCGGTGTGCGGGAGTAGACTTACCTCCTAATGTGGGGAGGGCTCCTCCTCTTCCTCCTCCTCCTCCTCCTCCTCCTCCTCCTCCTCCCCCCCCCTCCCCCTCCTCCTCCCCCTCCTCCTCCCCTCCCGCTCCTCCCCCTCCCCCCTCCACTCTCCGCTCCTCTTCTTCCTCTCTCCTCTTCTACTTTTCGTTTTATTATTTTTTTTCTTTTTTCCCCCTTGTCTTCTTCATCATAATCTCCTCCTCTTCTTCTTTCTCTTCGTTTTCATCTTTTTTCATCATCATCTTACTACTCCTCTTCTTTTTCATTTTCGTCTTTTACTTCGTCTTCATCTTCTTTTTTCTTCCACTCCTCTCCTCCCTCTCCCCCTGCAACCCCTCACCGTCGCGCCCAGGAAAACGCCGTCTTGGTTACGTTAACTCTATTTTATCGCAGCGCGACCTCGGGACATGCCTCGGCGGTTGGCCCTGGCGTGAGAATAGTTTCCTGGAGGTCGAGTTTGTTGATCGCGTGAGGCTGAGTGGTTATAGTGCCCGTGCGTCTGTGCTTGCATGAGTGCCTACGTACTTGCGAGGGTTTCCTGCAGGACTCCCCCCGGGCACGCTGTCCCTGACGTGTTTTGCCGGGGGAACTTCTGTATGCCTTGCCCGGCTCGTTGGCTATTTGTGCCGTCAGCCTTGGATGAATACAGAACTTACGTGGCTATAGATAGACGTTCGTTTATTTATGCCAACCGTGTGTTTATCGCTGCCAGTGGAAACGTACGTGGGGCATGCCTGTTGTCTTCATTATTTTGGTCATGGGTACTTCCGTCACAGCCCATGGGATTCTATTTATTGGAGCTTGTAGTTTTTTGGGAATGCTCCCTCACAGTGTTTTGAAATACTTGTACATTCTGTAGCAAAAATAGCTTGATCGTGTTTGTGTGGATACATTACAGACGTTGAGGTATGTTTGCAAGCTTAGAACTTATGTAAGAAGTAGTAAAACGTAACGTTGTTTCTTTGGGCATTGTCCAGTTTTTTATGTGGGTGAGTGTAACGAAGTTCTGACCTTCTTCATTAATTGAGATCTTTATTTTTTCATGTTATGATTAAATTTCTGTAAAGTATTAAGGCATCACTTAACGGTCGAAACAAATAAAAAGGGCCAAGAAACTTTTGTATAGTTATACATAACCGGGTCCGTTTTCTTTCGTAATAGGTTATCTTTTAGAGAGAACGTCGTGTAGTCAAGCAGTAACTCTTCTAAACCGCTGACTACAGATGAAAACGGAGGGAAATATTTGTTTGAAGATATTAGTATTTAATGTGTGTTTATTTCTTGCAGTATTTGTGAAGATGGTTATTTGACCTGAAGGAAAGCCATATGAAATGATATCGGTTATAGATGGGAATGAAATATAATTTTACAGTGAATATGATCTTTCCATGAAGCACCTCAAATAAGAATTAGAATTATTGAGTAACTTGTTTTATACATGTTTTATTGCTGCTATCATTGTTATAATTATCATCATCATCATATTATTATTATTAATAATCACCACATTAATAATAATAATAATATTACTATAATTATGATTATTCATCATCATCATCATCATCATCATCATCATCATCATCATCATTATCATCAAGAATAATCATCGATAAGGACCGCACCACCACCAATCACCAATCATCACTTTTTTTATTCAGTCTCCCACGACCATAAGGATTATTGTGTCCAATAATTTCTTTTTCTCTTTCTCTTATTTTCTACATATCTCCCTCATTTATCCACATATCCCAAACCTCTTCCTTCCATCCTCTGTCTCGTTGACAAGATATATATGAACCATCGTATTGATAACACGGGTCTACTTTAGTCTCCCTTAAAATATTCAACCAAAGAAAATGGACGCCAAATAGGGGGGGGTGCCGGGGGTTGGGAGGGGTAGTGGTAAGGTAGACTATATAAGGAAGTGACATTTGAAATATGTTTTTGAATGTTGACTTGTGAAGCACGAGATGATAGTAATGATAATAAGGACGATAATGATGATGATGATAATTGTAAAATGATCGTTTTTTGTTTTTATTATTGGAAAAATTTTCTGTGCTAAAAAATAATGATTCTACAGATTTTTCGATTTTATTCTTACTGTTTTATATATTATTATTATTATTGCTGATGGTATGATTATTTTGATTATTATGCTCCCATTATTATTGTTATTGCTGTTGCTATAGTTGCCACTATTATTGTTGTTGTTATCATTATTATTACTATTGTTATATCTGTTACTAATGCTGTTACTATCACATTTACGATTTCTGTTACTGTTACTGTTAGTACGCTTATTGTTATTATTACAATTATTGGAATTATTATCATCATCATTACTCGTGTTTTTACTGTCGCCAACCTGTTTCTTCGGTATTTATTCAATATTGGTAATGATGTAGCCAACCTGTTTCTTCGGTAGTTAGTAGCCTCATCTTTCCCGCCGGTGATAGTAATGATGTATGCCGTAATAATGATAGTAATAGTAGTAATGGTGAAAATAACGAAACGATAACGATAACGATGGTGATAATGATGATGATAGTAATACTGATAATGATAACAGTAATGGTCTCTCTTTTTTCTGTTTTTCTGCCTTTCGTCTCCCATTTTCTTGTTTTGTTTCCTAGCGTCTGTCCTCCTCTTCCTCGTTTTTTTCGTTTTTTTTTATTGTCTCCATTTACCTTTTTTCTTCCCAGCGTCTCTCCCTTCTTCCCTTTTCTCTCTTATGTTTCTCCTTTTTTCTTCATTCTCTCCCATCCTCCTTGTAGTCCTTCCTCTCATTCCTTCCTTCCTTCCTCAATAGTCCTTAGGAGATGGCGAGTCCTTAGCGTGTTGGCTCTGTGCCCCTCGGTGCAACCTTTGACCTCGGCTGGAGGAAGAGTTTGCCGTTGAGGGTCAGAAAAGAGGTCATCGTGAAGTTATGGTGGTAGGTGGAGGTGGGAGGTGAGAGGGGGAGACCACGGCGAGAGGGGGGGGGTGATAAAGGCACACCAGATTGGAAAGGGGTGGGAGTAGGTCGGCGACGAAACGGAGTGTGGTCTTCGCCCTCCTCAACTTTCTACGGCAGTGACTATATATATATATATATATATA